GGGCTGTTACTCATCAGAAGACCAGACAAATGGCTCTTTGTCATTGGACCAGGGGTGTGATTCATCAGAAGACCCCACCTCATGTGTTCTCAGCTACCAGTGGGAACATTACAGTCACTTACTAGTCCCTGCTGATAGGGTGCTGGGACAGGTGGGATGTTGTGATAACCGGCTGCTGCAGAGCTTCACGAGGAGAGATTCTCTGATCCCCATCAAGATCCACCAGCCGTGTCAGGGGGTGCACAAAAGCCCATCTGTCCTCAAATTCAGCTGCCCCATCTTTTGGATAGATTTGCATTTAGAAACAGAGTCAGGTTGACTGATCAGATCTCACCTTTCAGAGAAAAATCAATGACTGGAGCTGATTCAGTCTCATACAACAGAGCAGAGAGCATCTACTTCTACCAGGCCCTCCAGAGAGTTGGGCAGCTCAAAAAAGCCATTCTGCTCCTCTGCTTTAATGTTGTAGGCAGCTGCATATTCTTCTGGCATTGAAAGGAAAACCTCATGTATATGAGAACTGTTTTACAATAGCTAAAAAAAGAGATGATTTTACTAACTTTAGCAGAGACAGATATGCTACTCTACCATAAGCCTCCAACTGGGACCATCAACAACCTCCTCCTCAGTGAAAAAGAACGGTGTGTATATTCTAGCATGGAGTAGGCGGTCCTCTGGATGACCCACAACATTAGCCATACACTTCATCTGCAAATACAATATACACATTTACATTGGCTGGTGTTCTGCATGAAGTTTCCACTTGGTTCTAGATATTGTTCTGAAGCAGCTGACCTGTCTGATAGTTGCAGTTCACTGATGTGGTCAGGACACAGCCGGCCCCCACACATCTACAGCCTCAGCGAAGGGGAGGCTAAGGGCAACCTCTGGGGTCCTGAGGAGGGAAGAGTCAAATATGACACATCTGTTGGCGACCTTTGAGGACAAAAAGAACAGAAGTTTAGACTGACACCGCCCATCTGAGCCATACAGGACGAACCCACCTGCACCCACATGACTGAATTTTCAGTCCAGGCTGGACTTTAGCAGTTGAAATGGATTGGGTCCATTAATTGGACCCTAAGGGGCTGGTCCTGCACACTAACACACATGAAGTTATCTGGTTTGATATCGGTATGCAGAATACCAAGACCCTTCAGGGCACCCAAAGCCACCAACAACTGCAGAGAGAAAACAAGAAAGGACAGGTTTGGGATTTAGTTTACCACATGTTGCAGATTACCACATGTGTAAAGAATGCAGATATGAAACATAACCTGTAAACTGCTGCCAATCAAATGGCAGATATACTCCTGTGTAAAGTGCATTTATTTGTAAATCAGATTGTGATGAAGTCAGTGCTTCACCAGCCATGAACCTCACCGCACGTCACTGCTCAAGACCAGTTTTCAACAAACGATGACCAAGATGAGAAACACATTTCTGATTCCATATTGCCATTGTTAAACCCTCGGTTGCCTAAACGTATCTATGCCTTACCTATTTTACATTTTCCTGACAGGGACAGTTTCTCCTTGGCAGAGAAGACCGATGTTCAGGTCCTATATCCTAACAACTATTCACCTACAGTTAATGCAATTAAGTTAACCAAACCTTAGACACAGAGATAGCAGATCTAAACCGTTGCATGAAAGATTTTTTTCATTTTATCTTTTAAGGAGAGTTTAAATAATGTCAACTTTGCTTTTCAGAAGAATCTGAAATATAGGCTTCAGCTGAATTATCAGTTTTATTGAAGGCTGTGAATTAAATTAAATATATTCCATGACATTAAAATAATTCAGAAACTGACAAAAGGTGTACAGCTGTGTCATACAGTATTCCAGATGGATTTGAACATTTATTTTGAAAATGCTGCAACTCTAGCAATGGAAATTCAACCCTGCTTTTCCTTCTGTACTGTCTGTGAGTCCAAAAAGACTGTAATTTCTTTTTTTTAATTTAGGCTTTTATTTTGGAAGTGAGTGACTGAGCTGCTCAAAGGCTCGGGGTATTTATGTTCACTTGCAGCAGGAGAAAGAATGGCTGCCTCTTGCTGAGAGGTGGGGGGGATGAGATAGATGGATAAAGGGAGCAAGAGGAGGATGAATGTAACATGAAGAGAAGGAGAGGCAACAAAGGGAGAGAGTGAGAGGAGAGAAGGGGAAAAGACAATTTTCCATCCAGTCCCTGAGCACCTTAAGGGATGAGTTGATTTACTGTCAAATCTGCTGGTGGATTATCGATAATCTCAGCCTGGCCCCTCAATCTACCCACTCAGCCACTGCTGCACTCTCCAACAGTACCCTGGACGAGGAACAGGAGCTTGAGACATTAATATAAAAGAGAGTGAGATGGAGGAGAGGGTGTGTTTGTTTTGTATATGTATGTGCCCAAAATATAGACAGACAGAGGGTGTTTCTCTGCCCAGAGAATTAGAGGGGGGAAAAAAAGGCCTTCAATTTTCCACTTGAGCAGATTTCAATTTACACACACATCCCCCTCCGTGACTCCATCCTCCCATTGTTATTGACAGCATTTAGGCTGCTGTGATAAAAGATTGGTGTTTTTCATTCATTTGTTTTCCATCATTGGAAGGACACTCACTCATATAAGAAGCTATGTCTGTTCCACACCAGCTTTATGGGCAGAGATGTAAACTATGTGTCTGGCTATGAGTGCAGCACAGACAGACTCTGCGGGATTTATAAGTAGATTGTAGAAGCATGGCGATGGAGACAGATGCTGTGCAACAACATGTTATTCACTGTTTTTATTTCACTCTTTACTAAAACCAACCAACACGTCTGTGCTATGCTGTAGATTATCCAGTTGTGATATGTTACCGTGCACATTTGCTGTCTTCAGTTATCTACTGGTCAATTTGCTGAGGAGAATTGTGAACTGTTTTGGTAATTATTTGCTTCAATTGTTTTTAAAATGTGAGGATTTTCTGCATTTTTGTCCTTTGGATCAATGAATTGTGGTGTTCACTGAACACTTTATCTTTACGTATCAACCACCTAATGCAGGGGTACCCAATCCTGGTCCTCGAGGGCCACAGTCCTGCATGTTTTAGATGTTTCCCTCTTCCAATGCACCTGATTCAAATGATCAGGATCGTTATCAGGCTTCAGCAGAGCTTGATGATGAGCTGATCATGTGAATCAGGTGCATTGGAAGAGGGAAACATCTAAAACATGCAGGATTGTGGCCCTCGAGGACCAGGATTGCCCGCCCCTGACCTAACGGCTGTGTGCGCCACAGTTCCCCAGTGATTCAAGATTCAAGATTTTTATTTGCCATTTGTGCACCAACAGACAGTCAAGGCACATTGGAATTGTTGTGCAGGGCTCTCTTGGAGTTGAGTAAAAAAAGAAAAAAGAAAAGAAAAAGAAAAATAGAAGACACCAAGTCAAAATAGGTGAGCAATAAAACACTATAAATGGTGGACATTGCTGCAGTTTCTTGAGACACACTATTATTTTTCTCTTGTTTTTCTCAGACTCATTTTGCCCACCGATCCATAGAGTTATGCATAGAGTATCCTCACTTTAAGCTCTTAGCAGGACCCGTGCTTCCACTTTTGTTTGACCACTGTTTTCAGCTCACTCAGGAAGTATTTCTAGTAACGTGTTGAGTGACGTGTGTAGCTCTAATTTCTCTGGATTTCATTCAAAGCAACAGATGACATGGAAGAAGCTTGTTTTGCAGCTCCACACATCTTGCCTGTCTGCTGGGTTCTGTGTATATTGTTCAATATATCAAACAACGTGCTAGCATGCCCAGATATCTTTGATACTGCAAGCAAGGACCAGTTTCAGTCTATGAAAATTACATAACAGAGGCCTTGATGAAACTAAACCCCGATGCACAGAGACCTGTCAGATTGCTGTGGTTCACTCACTTGAAATATCTTCTCTGAAATAACATTTTCACTCATGTCACTTGTTTTCATGAACCCAATTACCCATTCTTTTTATTTTCCCCCGTGTGCACATATCTCACACAAACAGCCACAAGTTCACACTTTGACTCAGCCCAGTGATTCCCCTTGGATTTTTTTCAAGCAGTACTGCTTTGTGCATGTCTACAAGGAATGCTGGAGTCATGTTTGTGTTTCAGTGTAGAAACAGCTTAAAGGAGCCTTTGTTATGATAGAGTTACTCATATTTACCATGTTGTGTGGTTTTTAGGAATAATTTACTCCTAGTTTTTGACACTTAAAAGGCTCTGGAGGCCCAGATCACTGTAGAAATGAATACACTGTAGAGCGAGGACAACATTTTAGCAGTTATTCCGAGTTTGTGTCTCTTTGACGTTACCATGCTGCCGGTGTTTAGAGGGAATAAGACACTTAACATTAAGAGCCACCTTTTGTTGTTGTTCTACTGCACTTGGAGTTGATGTTAAAGGGGTGGAGTAACATGGCTTTCAGTAGGGGCCAGTATTCACAGTTAAAGGGACCTGGTGTGCAAGTGGAGGACAGTAGTCTCTAAAATAAGAAACTACTGTAGTTCAATTACACCACTGCTGAAATTATTTCAGAAATTGCTGCTAATTTGTAGCACTTGTGTCATTTTCTTTATGTTTACTGTTTTGTTTAGATTACATTACCTATCACTGTATTTCAGAGAATAATAATCCCTTGTCAATTATGTCAAGTAATGTCGTTGTCAAGTGTTAATTATTGGATTGAAAACCTGTGTGTTCAATTTTTTCATTGTGGCTTTTCCCTTCATCATCACAGAGCACCTTTCATTCTGAACAGACAGGCTTGGAAATTACCAAATGCTTAAATAAAAATTCCTATCTACAGATAAGCATTGCATTCATCTGGAAAACACTGATAACTAACCCTGTTATTTTGAGGTCTTCCTGGTTTGATGAGAAAATGTTAATTGTTGCATCTTATTGAAATGTGTCATGTGTTGCTTGGGCATGAAAAGACAATTTTCTGTATAGAAGAGTGACTAATGCTATTATCCTGTCTACCACAGGTAGTGTATAAGAACAATGACATCCGTCTTGAGTTGTCCCGTCTGGCTCGAATCGTGGACCCTAAGATGAAAATCCAGGGCGAGGTGTTCTACAAGTGTGAGAATGTGGCAACCCTGGATCCGATTTCTTTTGAGACTCCTGAGGCCTACATCAGTCTCCCCAAGTGGAACACCAAGCGGATGGGATCCATCTCCTTTGATTTCCGCACAACCGAGCCCAATGGCCTCATCCTGTTCACCCATGGCAAACCCCAAGAACGCAAAGATGCCGCCCGCAGCCAGAAGAACACCAAGGTCAGTTTGTAATCCTTAAGATCATTAGTTCATCTCAACCCTGCTTTAACTTAACACTTGTGGAAACAGTGGCTTCCACACTTTTTTTGTTTGTGACTCTTTAAGATTAGGCATGTCCCAATCAGTGTTTAGAGACTGGTTCCTGGCATCTGGTGTTAAAATGAATCAGTGTTTGCTGCTAACTTCTCAGATTGCTTATGTCTGCATTGGCTGCATCACGATGGAGTGAAATGCCACTCAGACATTGTTTCGTTTTAATCTTTGAAAAAACATCATCGCAAATATATCAACTTATTTCTTCTTAAAACATTATTAGTTCTCTAATTAATGCCATCTGCGAAAAAGATTATTATTTTAGAAGTCAGTTAAAATTAAACATTGTCTAAAAATACACAGTTTGTACTTATTCACTAAATATAAATTGCAGCTTTTAAATACAAAACACATCATTACCTTTGATTCTTTCATCATTTAGGTTTTACTAATTTCAAGGAAATATACTTTGTTCTATTTATATGTGTCAAAATTCCAACAATGCCTCGTCTTTCCAGTCTTGATCTGCATTGCCATCGTTGCCTAAAAAACACTGATCGCCCCCGACCTTTTTTAGAGATATATTTTAGATGTATTGCAGGTAAACACAACACAACACAACACACTTGGAACTCTGACAAACAGAACAAATGTCATTAAATCTTTGTTCTCGCATACGTCTCCCTCTAACCTCTCACGCTGCACCATCAAAAATGATTACATTTGTTCTTTCTCCTCACTCACACCATGTCATGGTTTTGCTCTGACTGCAAGTCAAATATATGCATGACACACTGTTTTAGTTTTATCTTGAATAGTGGAACCTAAACATTTAATTTGATGTTGCAATATATTTTCAATATTGAATGGAATCTTATTTTAGAGGAGTATTTTGGGTGATGAACTGAGCACATGAGGGAATCTGTGTCTGTCTCCCTCAAAATGACTGAGAGAGTTAGTTTCAAGTAAATATTTTAAGGCAATGCACAGATTTTATTTCTATGTGTTCACATTTGTGTGTTTTCCCTGGTCCAGGTGGATTTCTTTGCGGTCGAGCTGTTGGATGGCAGTTTGTACCTGCTGTTGGACATGGGCTCAGGGACTATCAAGGTGAAGGCCACCCAGACAAAGGTGAACGATGGGGCCTGGTATCACGTGGACATCCAGAGAGATGGACGCTCAGGTCAGTAAACTGGTTACACAGCTCGAATGGATCTTAAATATCACTTTTTTGTTGGTAAATATTTAAAATCCTACACATTTTTCATGCATTTAAGTGCAACAACTGTAATTACAAAAATACTTCAAGGAGTAAACCAAAAGTTTTGTTCTGTAGCAATCAGAACATATAATGACATTACTTTCATTAAATAGCAACAAATATATAGAATTGGAAATAAATTAGCTGGGCACTGGTTAGACACCTGAAGTGATCTCAGATAAAAAATCAAATATTAATAATTATTTACCGTGTCAGCAAAACTCTTTGATCCACAAGAGTTGGATATATTGTGAAAATAAAGCATCTGTGCCTTAGAGCAGACAAACTAGTCCACAAAAGGACCGAAAAAGATCAGTAACAGATTAGACTGAATAATTATGACCAGAGTCAAGCAAAACAGGAGAAAAACAGCAGGAAAGTTCATAAGCTCAAAGAATGACGCAAGTAAGATTAAAGGTACAGAGCAGACTTGTACTGAATGTTTTGTCAGGTTTGTCAGATCCAGCATCTTAAATGGCCCCCCCAGAGCGCTGACGGAAATCGCATAGAGCACCTGGGCTAAAAAATACGTCAGATCAATGTTCTAGTGTGGGTGAACTTATAGTTTTTTGGCTGAGACATGCCTGAAATTTGGCTGCAGATATTATTATCTTCTAAAAATTTTTAAAAAGCGGTGTGAGGTTTTTTTTTTTTTTTGATTTGGATAAATAATAGATTGTGACATATCACTGTGTGTTGTGTACCACTGTTGCTATCAGCCTGTCTTTTTAACTGATTTCCACTGTCTCCACCTCAGGCACCATCTCAGTGAACAGCAGAAGGACCCCGTTCACAGCCAGTGGTGAAAGTGAGATTCTGGACCTGGAAGGTGACATGTACTTGGGGGGGCTTCCAACTGACCGCACCAACCTCATCCTGCCCACAGAACTCTGGACAGCAATGCTCAACTATGGCTACGTGGGCTGTATCCGTGACCTTTTCATTGACGGTCGAAGCAAGGACATCCGTCAGATTGCCGAAGCACAAAATGGTGCTGGCATCAAACCCTCATGCAACAAACAACCAGGCAAGCAGTGTGAAAGCTACCCGTGCAAGAACCGCGGTGTCTGCAAAGAAGGCTGGAATCGATTCATCTGCGACTGCACCGGCACCGGCTACTGGTCACGCACCTGTGAGAGAGGTAAGTGTGTGTGTTTAGATGTGGACATGCTGTGTGCTCTTGCATAAACTGTAGAACATACGGATACTATCTCTGAGGCAGAGACAGTAGATTCTACTGACATGCTAGAGGACTGAAACAAACAAGGAAGAAATACAGATAAAGATAAAGGAACACTTGATTGCAGGTTTTGTAGGCAGACCGTGGTGGTAAGAGACAGATTCATAGATTCATTCAGATCATATAAAACTAAAGAACAGACGTTTATTGCAGAAACATTAGCATGCTACACACTATCAAAGCATTCAGGTTAGGTGGAAGGCAAGTCTATGGCAGAAAGGCTCTGATGAGGGTAGCAGTAGAGGACAGGACCCCCTGGAGTCTAGACGCTGATGGTGGTAGAGTGGAGTTGGCAGATGGCTGATAAAGAGTGGCTGAGATGCCGTGGACACCCGGGTGATATGGAGATGGGGAAGAGGAGGAATGCATGATCAGCAGCCTGGAAGCGAGAGTGACAGACTTGCCATGAATTTAAAGAGCACGGTCTAGAGGCTGATTGGCCTGAAAAGCATAGGCAGATAGATCATTAGACGACAGGGGTGACGTTGAGAGTGTAAGGGATTGTAACAGCGTGGGAAAATGTGAGTGATGGAGAGAACAGAGCAGCAGGGATAGCCCATATTCACTGAGAGGAATGGAGACAGAGTGTGAACATATATCCATCCATTATCTATACAGTGCTTTATCATTTGGAGGGTCACGGTGGGTCTGGAGTCTATCCCAGCTGACTTAGGGTGAAGGCAGGGGACACCCTGGACAGGTGATGGAACTGATGAACAAATATTCTTAATTGAAGTTACACATAAGCTTCCTTTAAGGAATAACCTGCCTTTATGGAATTACCAGGCCGAACCGGTGCCTGCTTCCAAAAGTATGCCACAAATTCAAGTTCAGTACATTTTGGGTCTGTGTGAACCACAAAAAAAAAAAAAAAAAAAAAGCTACTAAATGTGTCCTCTTTAATGTGGCTAATTTAATAATTTCCATTGGGTTTGAGTGGTTGCTTTCAAGCTTTGGTTTGACTTTTATGGGATGCTACCAGTTCATCTGAGATTACAGATAACTACTGAATACATCTCAGTTAAATCTTTTATTTGACCTTGTAAATAGCATGTCTTTAAATTGGTGGGAGAATTGTAAAAGTGTTAAAACATGAATTTCTGATTTTGTGTAATCTCTAGGTCTTGCTTCCTCTGGGTGTTTTTTTTCCTTTTAAATCAGTAAATATAGACAGACTGTCAACACACCTTCAGGTTTGCAGGACTTATTTGGAAGGTTACTCTGGGGGCGTCAGTGTTATCGTAATCAGCAGCGATGATGCCAAAAGTTCCAGAGAATTTGTCCCCTGGATTATTGTTATAGTGGTTCAAACTAACGATAACCACCAAATAGGGCTTGAATAATGAAAGTGTTCAGAGCTTTCTAAGCTGTTATTCATAAATTTAGATAAGCTTAAAAATGTTGCCAGTCTTGAATAATGGAGGTGTTCAGAGCCTGCTGGGCTGTTTTTCATAAAATTCAGTCACCGATGCAGATAGTAAATGACTGATGTAGTGCAGCATTGTGTCACATGAACAAAAAAATGTTAGCGGTGCAATATCCTTCTGCATTTTTTATCATGTTACCACAGTCTGCCGGTTGACAGTGACTGACCTTGCCTTGACTTGAGCTTGAGAGCGATGTAAAACAATTTCTAATCCATTTTGTGAGGCTAATAAGTGCCCATCAAATGTGAGAACTCCTTCAAGACTGCTGAAGGAGCTTTCCAGGTGAAACTGGTTTAGAAAATGCCACAAGTGTGCAGAGCGGTTGTTGAGCAAAAAAGGTTCATCGTTGTTATTCATCAACACTCCTGAAACTCTAATAGTACCTATTTGTGCTGCATTATTTATTGATTGATGCATGTTCTCAGAATAACTCAAGATTTTAGCCTTAAATCTTTTCTGACCCTAAACCTTCCCCATCTCCACTGTCTTGCTTTTATCTGTGTAAAAAAAGAAAGAAAGAAAAGACATTTGCTGCATCAGTCTTGCATAACAGCTTGTACAAAGTGCGGTAACTTATTGTATAGTTGTGACAGCATTTTGCATTGTCAGGGTTTCATGGTCTTTAGATTGCATCTCATTATGAATGGATGGTTTTTAGCTCTCACCCTCCATACATGTCCATCTTTACACGTGTGCAGCTGTCTGCCTGTGCAAAGAACATCCCACTGACCTTCTGACCAGTTTCCATCGTGGCACCCAGACAGTGTAATAAAGGCTGATTAGAGTTGAAAACTAATTACCACATCCCTAACCCCACAAATTATTTCTGTGCCTTTTTAGCATATCAAATAACAGCTTTCTGATCATATCTGTCCATAGTAGCTTTTCTCTTTTTTTCCTCCAGTGGATAATTCCCCCGAGTCTCATTTTTACTTTTGAAAAGAAAAGTCGCAGTGGGTCAATCTGATATGTGATGTATTTCACCTTGAATAATTTTGCAGGGGATACTTTATTGAAATACTTCTACATAATTATCAGCAGACAAAGATAGTCAGGATTTGTAATAAATGTTTTACTGACGTTATTGTTTGCATGTATGTGTGAGAATCATCCCTTTAGACTTGGTTTTTGGGTCAGTTTTTAATCTAAATTACTTTAATGTGAATTAATGTTAATATCAAAACCTTGTATAGTATTGATCAGTCTTTTCAGCAGATGCTTCATGGTGTGGGAAAAAAATCATCTGGGAGCTCACCACATGTTTTGTGTACATGCATAAATATATTATCCATGCTGTGAGGACGCCTGTTTACACTGTCACATTGTGGATACTCAACTTGGAGGGACTGTGACATAAATCAAACAATTTTAGTGTGAGGGCCTACTTAAGTTTTGAATAAGGGGAGTTTTAAGTTGAGGGGTTCTGGTCAGTGCATGGTGGTATTGTGGTAGTATTTAGGGTAGGGCAAGTCTCCAGGAAATAAATGTATGTTATGTAATGAAGGGATGGAGATGCTGGAAACATGGGCATTTATTTTTGCATCTCCCAAAGAGGTTTTAACAGGTTTCAAAGGAAAGTCACCATTGCCAAATTGACGAGAATTAAGAATAAAAGGTCTGTAAATTATTTAACCAGTTTTGTTTTTGGGGTTTCATTTACTCAAGCAGGAGATTCATGTCAAATAAGGTACTCATTGACTTATTGCCTTTACTGTATGCGGACCAATCATTTTTACTGTAGTCACCACCTTGGAGGGTCTGTTCTGTGCCAGGAAAAATCCTGGTGTTTGTGCCTATGTGTGATATAGCGGCAATTAAATCCCAGGACTAGTGCGATTACCCAGGGGGTGTTTACTGCTCTGCATAGTGTTAGCTACTATTTGTGTTTGGCTCTGACTTCGACCAATTTATTTGGCGAAATCAAGTGGCACAGCACTGAGACATAACCAGTTCAGTAATGGAGTTGAGGATATATTGTTGCTCACAGAAATATATCACATCTCTTACTCTTGGTGTGACTGTGGTCTCCTGTGGCTGTAATTAGTATTGATTTATAAAGGAGAAGGGGGTCAACTTAAAAACAATCACGCAGACACACCTCTAGATCAAATAGTACAGATGTTAGGAAATCTTAATGTGAGCAGTTCCTAGTCTTCTTATGGTAACCGTTACATAGAAGCAGTCTGAATGACATGAAAACTCCTTCTCAAGGAGATCTATAATGCAGATTCTTCTTCTACAGAGAATACAGGAGGTTTTGTTTGATTAGTTAAACAGAATAATGGCATCTTTTTGGTTGAGGTGGGGCTCTGAATCTGGACACTAAGATTGAAGAGAGGAGTTAATAGTTAATAGTTCATATGATCATTATTTGGGTTACGTTCCCCCAGGAGGCACTGCTGTAGCGAGACATGTATTGGCAAAGTTAATGTAAGAACTAAAGACCTAGTAAGAGAATGCCTGACATTGTTAGCACAAAGTAAATTTATTACACATACTGACTTTATTTCAGCAAGCTAAGGATGTCTAGTAGAGGACAGGACCCAACATGTTCACAAGATTTTGCATGGAAGTGTTGTGTTCTTTTATAATTACTGTCTAGAAGTGAGGGGACTCCGTATCCACAACACCTGATTCAGTGTTTCTCACACAGGATTCCTGTTTGTATTCTGCTGCCATGCAATGGACTAAGCTGACTTGTGTAATTAGGAGGAGATAAAGCTCTCTGCCTTTGAAGCAAAGATTCAACAGAAGTTGTTAAATATAATATTGTTGGAAACTGACTCGTGGTTTGGGTGTGTTTGCATCCTGAAGCATGAAAGTCCATCAGTTGTTGATTTCCTTTAATGTCTCATGGATCCTTTATTTCTGTGTGCTTTTGAAGAAACTTTATTAATAGTTGGTTTATATAATTGTCTATTTGAGTATTAAAAACTGCTATGTTAATGTTGGATATTAAACGGTTTTCGTTATCTTGATGAGGTTGTTGAATTGGGAAAACACGACAACGCCGAGGACTTTACTGTTCTATTCCTGATAAAGTCAGATGTGCTGATGTGCCGTTTTATAGGTGTACAGGTGCATTCCCAATAAAACTAAACCAAACTAAGCACCATGGAACTATAGAACAAGAACAAGGATTTTAAATTGATTTAAAGTCATATTTAATAATGCTCTCTCTGGGTAACTTACAGTTGTTCAATATAATGACTGAATACTACAGAGGCATAGATTAGGCAACAAGAAACAGTATTCTTCATTTTATTGCTTAACTACTTAATTTTCTCACTCTTTAATTTCCCTATGTACTGACAACAATGTTTATCTTGATAATATATTAGGACTTTCAATGAGATTGACTGCAGCTGGTGAATTGGAGACATTTAATTGGTCATCACTTTATAATCATTTATCACTTCAATCTTGTGCTTTTGCTTTGGGTTTTGTTCATTACGTTGGTTTTACCGATGCCAT